AAATGACCTCACTAGGAACACCGGCTAATCTTGCGCAAACAAATGCGGCTGCACTATTGCTGACATTGTGCTCCCCTAACAATGGCAATCGGTAATAGCAGGTTTCTTCCGCTATATTGGCATAGGGCATATCGGGTAATAAAATACCCAGTGACTGAACAAAATCTGCTTGAGACTGTGATGAACATTTAAAAGCGACTGCTACGGGCCTGCGCCATTGGGTTTGGGCATTTTTCTGCATGGCTCTTGCTTGTGCTTCGTTCTCACAGGATGTAAAAATGACTTGCCAATGTTCAAGGGCTTGCGCTTGCCAGATTTTGACAAAATCTTCTTGTAAGGGATAAACGGCAGTACCATTTCGCCTTAATGCGCCAAACACAGTACCATTTTCTTTAGCAACATTCGCTACAGACCCCATAAACTCTTGATGTTCTCTTTGCGCATTATTCACAAGCGCGATGTGAGGAAGGACTATGGGAGCAATGACCGCAATTTCTCCCGAATGATTCATCCCCAACTCAAACACCGCATAGCGATGTTGTGAATTAAGGCGTAACACAGACAGTGGCACGCCAATGTCATTGTTTAAATTGCCTTGTGTTGCAATCACGGCTTCGTCACCTACCCATGTTCGACCAATATGCGCTAACATTTCCTTAACAGTCGTTTTACCATTGCTCCCAGTTACTGCAATCGTCGGCAAGCGAAAATGATAGCGCCATTTTTTTGCTATTTTTTGCAAGGCAGATAGCGGGTCTGCAACCCGTATGACGGGAAGTGTGGCCGGTACGGTTGCCGTTTGCGACACAATGGCCGCTACGCCTTCGAATTGCGCCACCTCTTCTAAAAAATCATGGGCATCAAAATTCTCCCCCTTTAACGCCACAAATAAATCTTGGGTCTTTAATTGGCGGGTGTCGGTATTAATTCGATTGCATAGGATATCGGGACAATTTTGTTCCTCTGCACCCAACCAATGGGCGACTTGTTTTAACTTAAACACTGCTTTCTCCCTTGGTGTTGCTGCGATGATTTAAACATTGTTTAGCTATAAGTGCATCGCTAAAGGGGGTCTTCTCGCCAGCAATTTCTTGTGTGGATTCATGACCTTTGCCTGCCAACACAACCACATCCTTTTCATTTGCGTGGGCAATAGCATAGTCAATGGCTAGGGCGCGATCCGGTTCGACTATATGCTGCGTACCCGCTGTTAAGCCCCCTAAAACATGCTCAATAATCTGCAAGGGATCTTCATATCGAGGGTTATCACTGGTGATGACCAATTGATCTGCCAATGTAGCCGCTGCACGAGCCATGAGCGGACGTTTGCTCGCATCTCGGTTGCCCCCGCAGCCAAAAACACACCATAATTGACCACCTCTACGCTCTGTTTGTGGTCGTAAGGCAGATAAGACCTTGTGAATCGCATCTGGCGTGTGTGCAAAATCCACGACGACGAGTGGCAAATGGTTTTGACT